CCACAGGGGGGGGGGGGTATCATCTTAGTACCCCATCCGCGGGGAAAACCCTAAACCCTAAACCCTAAACCCTAAACCCTAAAACCTAAACCCTAAAACCCTAAAACCCTAAAACCCTAAAACCCTAAACCCTAAACCCTAAACCCTAAACCCTAAAACCCTAAAACCAACCCCCAACCACACCACAGGGGGGGGGGGGGGTACCATTGGGGGGGGGGGGGGGGGGGGGGGGGGGGGGGGGGGGGGGGGGGGGGGGGGGGGGGGGGGGGGGGGGGGGGCCGCCGGGGCTGAACCATATATGTGTGTGTGTGTGTGCGTGTTTATATTTATATCTCTGTGTGTGTATATCAATTACCAAATATTGAGAGGGGATTTTGTACACTTCTTGTGAAACCGGGGAGGGGAACGGATTAGGGGCGTAGAGGGCTCTTTGCTTTCCGGTAGTGCATCGGGGTGGCTCAGTTGGGTTTAGGGCATCGCTTCCACACGTTCTTGAACTTGGGTCCCAGCGCAGGGGATGACGTGCGAGTACTGCCGAGACTGCAGCTTCTGCACAGTCCCTGCTGACCTTACCTCCAGGATACTCGTCGGCACTATTTCCCAGCGAATGGTCTTCCCGGTTACCTTGCCCTTCACCTAAGTTCACCGACAAAGAGCCCCCCCGACGCGAAACACGGTCGGCTACACACGCATTCGCATGTTAAGGGAGTCTATCAATGGGGCAAACGGGGGATCTGCCCAAGGTTGAGCTCCTCGACGTTGACGGACAGCGTTGTAGTGCCGGACATCTATTTTTTCAACAACTTCAGCAATGTTGCCGCGGGTTCCAAGTTCTGCACAAGGTGGGGAGGCTCTATGGAAGGTGATTGCATCCACTCCTGGTGCTGCAGCAGAATGAATTCCGACGCATCCCTGCCAGGTGCGTCGGATACTTGTTCATTAAATGGCGAGGATACTACAACTTTTACATCATATCAAACGATGGTGGCTTGGCCAAGCAAGGAGAATAAGGCGTCTTGGGTAACGAGGAGGGGAGACAGAAAGAGAGAAACGGAGAGGAGCCTCTTCGCCGAGCCGAGTGGCATCGGGGATCATGAATCGTAGGAGGTTCCGTGTGCAAAGGGGTCCAACAAATCGAAAGAAACCAAAATGTCAGACAGGGATCTGAAGTATGGCATAGGGATCCGAAATTCCATTCCTTTGGGAAGGAAGACAGGAAGGAGGGAAGGGATTGAAGGGAGGGAAGGGCAGGAAAGGAAGAGGAGGTTGGAGCAAAGGAACCTAGAAAGGGCTAACCTTACGGCGTTCTTCTCCACAAGCATCACCTACCAGAAGCAAGTTGGTAACGAGCTCCCTAATACAACGTCTCAGGCCAGAGAAACTCTTACCCCAGGCAGGCAGTGAGCTTGAGATCAACGCCTGTTTGCAGTAGTAAAGCTCACTCTCTTAGAGCTGTCGTGAAACATGTTGGAGCCTTACTCCTCCTTACTTGGGCTTGAAAAACTGTACTGTCTATGGGGTGGACTTTCGGGAAGGTTCTGTTGTGCATAGGCATCCTGATGCTGCTGTCATTATGCGGCCGGAGGGAGAACATTCTCGCTCATTTCTTTTTGGCATGGAAAGCTCCTGGAACCTCTTTGGGTTTTGCAGACCAACCCCGGCGGGCTCGTAGAGCGAAAAGTCATCAGCGGAAGGCGGAGGCTCCTTTGTCAGGGGAAGCACAGCAGCATACCCAGTAGCCCTAAACCCTGAACTGCCCTGAGAAGAAGCTCCTCCTTCACACCAGAAGGATGGTGGAAAGGTCCTAATGACTCGACGGTATCCGGACATCGCACGGTCTGTCGCCGCACAGAAAAGGACATCGTACGCGTGCATTGGACTATTGTGCGAGGCCTTAGTGTCGCACCGCTCCCCGGCTTTTGGAGGTCCTGATCCTACATGGTGGTACATGTATATATGTAGATGTATATACACATGTATACAAGAATTTGTTTGTAACGGAAGGTTGTCGGTAAGAGTCTTGAGCCTGCATGTCGACATGTCGACGACCTCATCATGACGGGACGCCGAGCGCAGACCACAGTTTTAAAAGGCCGAGAATGTTGGCCTCAGCCTTGGCAAATCATAAGCCTGACCTTAGAATGCAGTATATAGAAGAAGGTGCGACGTGACAAAGTAGGACGGGCTGCGCTGACACGGTTGCATAAGGTATCATAAGGGGGGCCAAACACACTCCCGTTATGACTCAGCCAAGCAACATACAGTCACATGCATCTTTTAACCCAAGCACCTGCCTGGACCACCAAAAAAAGTGTCGTTCTCGGACACAAAAAAACTGTTTTCTTCAAAAAGAACTGAGTTTTTTGTGGACCTTCCAGGTTGGCCTGGCATAGCAAGGCAACCCAAGCATCCTGGCCTTTGAAGCCAGCGACCGACTCGGCCAAATCGTTGCTATGCCAACAGCCAAGCAGCTGAGCAACTGCGAGCAGGCATGAATGCTGTAATTTACCGTGTTTTGGTTTTGTGAACCGGCAAAGAAGTGCTGTGATTCATTGTGTATGCAGCCTGCAAATTGAGCTATGCAGCCTTGCGGTTTGGGTGCTCTGAAGGTCACATCGAGGTGTTCAAGTCCGACATAAGAAGAGAGAGAGAGAGAGAGAGAGAGAGATCTTCGTGTCTCGGGTTGCAGGCAGATCAGTGCATGTTTTGCCAGGCTCACGGACCTACCTGGATGGGCAGCTGGTATTGGACAAAGCGGGCTGTGGGGTTGGACAACGATCTGAAGAAGAAGTCTGGCTGGAGGCAGGCTACCACGACCTGGAGGTACAGATGTGCAGTGGTGGTGGAAATCAAGTTTTGCAGCTGTCATACTACGGGCCAGATACCGATCACGTCAGAATCCCAATTCCCCAGTTTGCGCTCTTCCATGCCGCGCCCTGGCTCTGCATAGCCTCCCCGAGAAATCTCCCGAAGTGCATCAACAGAAGGCCGCTGAGTACACTCTGCAGGCTGTAGAACCCTTGCGTGCTGAGGCGTTCACAGAGCGCCAGGCCGGTTGCCAAATCTTATACGAAGAGACGCAAGTAGCATGATCCAGACACGAGCATGGGCTTCAGAATCAAGCGTCTTGGATTCGTGTTGTGATGATTCTTCATGGCCCTCTAGCTGCGATTGCAAGCTTCGGACAGGCTCGCTTTGTCGCCTTGGCGTTGCAGCCGTGGACGGCGCTGACCTACAAGGTCCAGGAGTGGGGATTCTGAGTCAGAGCGGGGGATGGTGCTGTCAGCGGGGCGGGGGGGTGGGGGGGGGTCTTCGAGGCATTTTCCTCGTTCCCACACCCGTTTCTGTGGGAGCTTAATTGAATTGTCAAAGGGCCCAGATTTCGAGGCTCCTACTGTGTGCCGGTTCTCAACCCTCAGGGTTTCTCGACGTTTCATCCTTCCTTCGCCTCGACCCGAGATGGCAGCGGTGTCCGTGACCCTCGGAGAGCAGCTCCCCCTCCTGAACTTGGAAGAGCCCACGCAGCAGGGGCTCCTGAAGCCTTCTGCGCCTTGGGGGGATTGCTTTATGACTCCTTATATGATTTTTTACATGACTCCTTCTCTGATTCCTTAATATGACTCCCTATGACTCTTGATATGACTGTGTATATGATCTTTTCTTGGGCCCCTGCGTTTAAGCCTTTAAGCACACGCGCGGCACTTGTCCGGCTAAGTTCTTCAAAGTGTCCTGCTCGTCGACGCCTTCACTCAAGTACGACTTTGATGATCTGCTGAGCATGGGATTGGTGGAGGGCTACCCGGTCCTGGAGGCCGAGGGGGCTGCGGGTTGGTGCCGCGGCACGGCTAAGGGTGCTTTCACAAAGGGTCAAGTACTGGCACCCACCCCATCTTCGCCACAAGGTCACGCCCGAAGGCTCGATCGCCGTCTCGCCGGTCCCTGCGCAACTCCACCGAATCACGAGACAAGCGTTGGGCCCACTGTTGGAATTTCGTGTGTTTGGAGTCCAGGGCTGATGTCCGCAGGGCAAGTTCAGCTTGTTTTTTATCGCATACATGCAGGCATTCGTGTAAGAGATCCCGCAAAGCCTGTGCAATTGTACGACACCGTACGGTGAGGGGTTCCTTGGGCCATAAGGCTCTCGGCAGTGTTCGATTCTCTTCCGGGCACTGGCTCTGACAGGAAGAGGACTCTGCGACAGTGGAGCTTTTTGGGGGGGGGGGCCCCTCCTCGTTTCTTCGGGGGCCACTCAGCCTAAACTCTAAACCCCCCCAAAAGAAAAGCCCCCCCCCCCCCCCCCCCAAAAAAAAAGAAAAAGAAACACACACACACACACACACACACACACACACACACAGACAGAGTCCAGAGAGTCACTCACAGGATCTCGCTGGCTTGCTCGATCTGGGGAGCCTTCCCGGACCTGGCATCTCTGGAGCCGATCAAGGAGACGGGGCGTGGGTCGGCTTTTTCTTTATAGTTCCACTTTTTTGTCTCGCAGGATGATCCAGTGGTCTCAGTGCCCTCACTTCTATTCGAAAAGCTGAGGGCAATGATAGATAATGAGAAACGCCCCCCACAATCCTAGTGTAGAGTTTGGGTTAGTAACGGTTGGCATCATGTGTTGCTTAGATCGGGCTTCGCAGGCTTCTTTGCAGCTGACACTTCTGGACGACATCTGCTGGGCGCCGGGCCTACCGGTAGCTGCTATAGCCATTCTAAAGCTTGTAAGGGCTGTGACTTGAGCCTCAAACTGAACGAGCGCCTTTCCTCACCCATGCCTGTGTGATTCCAATGCCGAGATGCCGCTGTCGCTTTTGTTCCCAAAGCCTTTAAGACATGATCGTGCTGGCTTGCCTGCTCATCTCACATCTAGGACGCCGGGCTTTAGCAGCCAATGATTTTCTAGCACCGCCATCTCGGAGGTCAAGAAGCGGGTCGCGAAGAATTACACGGTGATCAGCATGAACTCAGAGGCTGCACTCTATCATGCAGCATGAAGGATCATGAATCATGAAGGCCTTCCTTAGTGCGTGCGGCGTGAGGGGTCTGCTGCGGCAGGCAGTTATTGTACCAGCAGTGGCACAACCACGGCAGCGCAACTATCCACCTCTGCAGCACAAAAACCCTGCCTTTGCCGGCGCTTCCTTGACCTGTCCCAACTGCTTCGAGCTTTTTCTTGACGACGGCTACTACTACTGCTGCTGCTCCGACTCCTACTGCTTCTGCTACTGAAGCTACAGGCCAGCTGCCGGGCTGCCTGCCGAGAAGCCGCGGCCTGTGCTGGCTACCTTTGGGAAGCCAACCAGTGCCGACGATGCAGGGCCGAGCTTGATGTCTGACGAGGGCTTCGGTTTCGGTTTGAGGTTGATAGCTTCGGGAGGAGATTTGAGACAACACCACGCCGGAAGAGCACACTTCTACCAATCAAGAGACCCGAGTGCTAGACTCAGAAGAACATTCGGGTGGCAGAAGAAACAACCTCGCCAGCCATTAGAACCTTACGTCACTGAGTGTCTTGTTTTCGCCCAAGCAAGCCCAAGTCATCACTGTGTGATCCGCAGGCTCCGACCCTGCGTGAGTGCAGGTTGTGGTAGCGAAAGCTAGAGGGCTCTAATTGCCGCATTCCTTTCACAACTCAACATGCCCCATGTTAAGTCCACCATGCATGGCAAATCATGTGGCAACAACCATTTCGTGCATCACGTGCCAAGACAACATTTAAAGTAACCCATTGTCAAATCAACCATGCATGCTGAAACAAGCTAGCCAACATGCCAACATGCAAGCCGGTGGCAAACAGCCCGTCCATGGCAACAAAAAGAAACGGATGTCAAGTCAAGCGTGCCTGCATTCCCGAAGCATCCACAACAGAAAATCACTTGCTCAGAAAGCTCTATAGTTACGTTGACGTTACCTGACATAAGCGGTTAACTGGTTTAGCGCAATTGGTTAGGGGCCACTGGCTTTAGTTAGCTGAAACCAAAAAATCGGTTCGTTTTCTCATCTTCAACTAGCATAGTTAGCTATCTTAGCCAAGCCCGTGAGGCCACTTGCTTTCTTATAATTACTTGTTTCCTAGGTGGGATAAGGGGGACCCTTAAACGGGAACCCCTTCTTAACCCTCTTCTGGCTCTCTTAACAAGGGACCTTATTCAGAGGGTCTATATCCCCAAGGGTCCCCCTAATCCTATCCCCTATCGTTGGGGTTTACACGCACGCGTGCACAACGCACGCATGCACAAGCATATGCACGCACAAAAACACGCACGCACGAGCACGCGCACGCACAAAAGCACGTACGCACAAGCACACGCATGCACAAACACAAGCACCGACAAACAAACACACACACACACACACACACACACACACACACACACCCACACACCCACACACCCACACACCCACACACCTACACACCCACACACCCACACACCCGCCCGCCCGCCCGCCCGCATACACGCACGCCTCATGCACGCACGTCCGCACACACGCACGCACGAATGAACGAATGCACGAATGCACGCCCGAATGCACGCACGCGCACGTGCTCGTACGTTTGTGCGACGAGCGCGTGCGGACATGAGTTCGTGCGGACGTGCGCGTTCGCATGCGCGCACGCGCACACACACACACACACACACACACACACACACACACACACACACACGCGCGCGCGCACACGCGCACCTGCGCGCGCACGCGACACGCACACTCAAACGCACAGAGACACATACACACATACACATACCGTCCGCATACGCACATACACACATACACACATACATACACATTCGCGCACACGCACACACAGACCTTCGCGCGCGCGCACTTCAAACCCCAAGATGGAGCCCTTGAGTGCGAAGACTCCGGGACGCGATAGAGCTGCCCTCAACCTGCAAGGATACTACGGGCTTTCCAGGGGAAGCCCCGTTTTTGCCTGGGCCAAGGCCTTTCGCTGTTGACTTGGGCTTTTTGGGGGCCTATGTATATGACTTAGGGCTCAGGCTTTCTGCACGGTTGCCTGGTTTGTTGGGTTCAAAGTTCGGCTGGTTGCCGATGGCTCATGATTGCTCTGCAACCCTTCCCAAAGAGCCCAAGGCATCTTCAATGGTTAAAGTCAGCAGCCTAGCATCACACCTGCATGCAGTGGTTTTGCACGAGGCATCACGAGGCACTCAACATATTAGACTGGTTCGCCCAGCCCGTGCGATGTTGTGAGTCTGCCTTTAAGACTTATGCCCGCGTTGTGCCGCAATCATAGATGCAGCACAACCCTGTAAAGGTCACGGAATGCACTGCCGAGTCTACATGCATGGAAGTTGCAGACCCGGAGTGGAGCCTTCGGCGAACTTTTAGGACTTGCGATGGTCAACGGTGCTTCGATCCTACTTCGGAGGGTGGCGCAACTCCTACAATGCGCAAAAACCAGGAGATAGGGCGCACAATACACAATGGCCATCCCGTGGCACAGGGGCTTTCCACATACCGGTACAAGAAACGCAGAGCTGTAAACACGCCGATTGCAAGCAAGGCCCAACGGTTGCAGCTCCCTGCCTGTCTACGCCTGGATCCCACACTTCAATAACCTCGGATCAAGGGAGCGGTGGCTTGATGTCATGGGGAGTACACATCACGGCCGCAAAGCCAGTGCCACCATGTCTCTCCCGCTCCAAGTGGATGATGAAGCACAACTACGTGAAAGCCTGGACACGCGTGTTAATTGGCAAGCACTGCTATCAGCTAGCAGGAAAAAAGGCGGAACAGTCCGCACACAAGCCCATGAAGCCTGACTGCGGTGAGGGTACGAGGGTGGGGTGACCTGCTCCGCTTGGGTGCCGCATGCAAACGGCTTACATGCACGATTTCAACAGCGTCAACCAAGTCTTAACCTGTGAACGTCGGTGGTTGCCTTGCCATTTTCTACCACATAAGAACCCCAAAGGGACATAACGGGACGACATTTTGCTTCAGCCTCCACATGGTGCGATTCAAAAGTCCGTAACAGGCCCCGGGGGTCTTTTTGCGGCATAGAGTTTGCGCCCTCCACGAAAAAACTACTCCTTAACACCATCTTTCTATTGAAGTCGGCTGGTAAGAAGGTGTTTGGCACAAATGAGAATGGCTAGCGTGGACCCAAAGCCAAGGCATCCCTGGCGCTGGTCTTAGAGTCTTATGATAAAGCTTCAGTCATCTTACGGGCAAACCTGGGGGGGTGGTCCGAATAGTTGTGGGCTCCCTAAACTAGAAACCCAAAAGCGAAGCTTTCACACCTGGGCATGCCAACGGGAGCGGGGCAGCCTTATTCGCAACCGCCTTGGCCATGTACGGTCTGAACTTGACCTGAAGCCTGAAATTGAGATGAGTAATTGGGTAGCCGGACATGCCCTACTTTGATTCATAGCGGTGACCCACGCGTCGCAGCCCGAAGACAGCCAAGGTACAAAGCTGGGAACTACTGTCCCATCACTCCAGACCTTGCCCGCAACAACATTCTCTACCGCAAGGATGCCCTTTATGTGAAGTTGTAGGTTTTTTCGGAAGTGCAGTTCGCCGTGGAGTGTGCGTTGTCTTGGCCACGAGGATTGTTAATGCGGGTCCGTTTGCCGAAGCATGTACCCTCAAGCGTTCCAGAACGGTCGGAATTCGAAGTGCCTTGGATTTCAATCGGCCTTCCTGACTGTTCGTGATCCACAAAGTGCCCTGGCGAGGACGGTGCCACTGCTGAGGAGACAATTCACCTCGCCAAGTACTCGAGCTCTTTGGATGGCGCCGCTGGGGCAGAGCAATCTTTGACCCTGGCACTTAAGAGGAGGGTTTAGGGTTTAGCGTTCAGGGTTTACGGTTTATTGCTTTATCTTTTTTGAGACATGGTATTAAAAAAAAAAAAAAAGCAACGCGAGGGGCGTTTCTTGTGGAGGCTTTGTGCCATTGACAACCAGCATCAGCATGCAGCGCAATTTGCTGCCTGACACATCGCAACGCAGAGACAGAGTCGGAATGACAGCTCAACTCTGTTCAGCTGTCTGAACAAAACCCCGGGGCCGGCCCCCTTTGGAGCTTCTGAGCTGTAAGGCACTATCGGTTTCACGCCTCAGTGATGGGGACTGGAGCCTTGGATGAGATTTGGGGGGGGGGGTGGGCGGTCTCCTGCTTATTTGCTTCTCAAGTAACCCTAAACCCTAAATCCTGAACCCAAGTGTCAGCTAGGCGGGTGGCAAAGAAAAGCCTTTTGGGGAGGGTTCCCGTTTCTGTTGCAGGATCCTCCGGCAGGCGGACCCGGAGCTTGACTTCATTGCTCCCGGGCAGCAGATTCCATCAGATTCCCTGTAACCTTATATATGAATTCAAGCCTAAACATCCCTAAACATCCCTAAACTGCCAGGACACAGAGACGGGGCAGGTGGCGCTGCGGGGCTCAGTGTTGGGCTCCCCCGACAAGGCACTAGAACTCCTGACTTGCGGGCATGTGTGAATGACGCCCAGAGACTGCCATGTCAAGCCCTTGACAGTCCGAAATCCAGAGTCATGGCCCTGGCTTTGCAGGTCCCCGGTTTTCTTTGCGACCACTTCAAGTTTGACATCCGGTTGAACGACTGTCGCATCCCAGATCTCACGTTGGAGACCCTCGCCGGCAACCCCTACTCAACTGCAGCCTTCCCTACCACTGTACGTACCAATTGTACACCGTGTTTGTATTCACATGTTCGGATGAAGTTACAAACCAGTTGAAGGACTGTGACCTATTCCATGGCTATGCCGAACCTGGTCTTCAACGAAGCTGAAGAGGACAACTTCTGCTTGAGGCGGGTGGTACCATTACCATGGTGCCCATTGTTCAAAGATGTTCAAAGCGGCAAAGCGTGCCAAGATTTCAGGTGCACAGCAGATCTGGAGGTCCAGAATGCGGGTCAGTATGTATTTACCCTATCCTCGGATGACGGTGCCGGGCCTGAAGTATTTTGAGTGGAGTGTGCCGGGTAAGGTGGAGTGCTGT